ACCCTATCACAACAGAGATCAACCTGTAACAGGGTTAGGGTAACGTAACCCTATCACAACAGAGATCAACCTGTAACAGGGTTAGGGTAACGTAACCCTATCACAACAGAGATCAATAACCTGTAACAGGCCTATCACAGAATGCAAGCTATTCAATACTCATTCTTCTTTAAGAGTATGAGCATGTCTACTCAGGGAGAGGGCGTGGTGCGGAGGAGATTCACAATCAGGCCAGCTGTAGAGAAGACCCTCTCAGCTGGAATGTGGGCATAAGATGAGGGTTGAGTCTGCGTGGTCTGCGTGTAGGGAGGGGCTGCAGCCATAGCATTAGCTAGAACTAGATCTGATGGATTTGGACAGAAACGCGAGTGAAGTATAACCGGACGAGAGAGAGAGAGAGAGAGATCAGCACCTGCAGCTCTGCCCGCTGTGAGGGACCGCTGAGCGGAGCAAAACACACCTTTAGACCTAACACACTTAGCTATGGCACTGTCGTATACATTGAATTATTCCATTTGATCATATGTAATCAACTTAGGCACCCCTCCCAAAAAACAAAAAAATATATATATATTCTCATATTAGAATACCTGAATCATTTTGAATATTCGATTAATCGTTCCCATCCCTAGTATTTACCAGATCAAATGAATTAGCGTTAAAGGCCTATAACTCTGAAGTTTCTGAGGACGTTTTCTGTCTTTTAAATGCAGTTTATTTACATTTAAAGTTCCATTTCTCAACCCGTTTATCTTCAAAATGATTAGAAATCTGATTTTTTATATCAATTACTTATAAATTGTTGCTTCAAAATAGTTCATACAGGCACATTTTCTATTATTACTTACTGTATTACCATATGAACACGCACAATTCAAAATATGAGGTATTCAATTATTGTATATTTATTTAAACACAACATTTTCCGCTCTTTTTGGCTTGTGATTGGTCAACCGCTTAGAGATGTCCCGTCCCCTTAGCCTCAATAGCCAATAGGAGCCTGAGTGTTCCATCAATACAGATTTAATTAAGTTTAATAATATTTAAAATAAGATAAGTACTATCTTCCTTGTTTTAAATTGTAGATCATGTTGTAAGAATTATTTAGAATTATTTTAATTGTTTAAAAATGAATGTTTCTTTTTCTTACGGGAAAAAAATACAGTTTAAAAATATGACACGGCTTAAATGTCAGCAAACATCGACGAGTGATTTAACAGTAAGACATTACAACAAAGAGGCTTGTGAATATAATATAATACACTATAACATTATTAGTGTTTAAAGATCTGAGTATTGATCGTGAGGTTTCCAGATGCTTCTGAGTTTCTGACGAGAATCATCCATCACTGCCGCCCCCCCGTCCTCCCCTCTTCCTCATATTAAATCTGGTGATCTCCTGGAAATGAAAAATTAAACCCTTCCTCCTCCTCCTCCTCCTCCTCCTCCT